TTTTAGCCTGGTAGCATGTGTTTGTACACCGAATTTTCTAACTCGGACTCTGAAACTGCAGAACTTCATTCCTTGTTCAGCTTCCCTGTGTTCTATATTTTAATGCTAATTTTTTTTCAAAAATCTACCGTAGAAACTCGATTTTGTGTTTCAGTTGTTTAATTCAGTGGTATAGTCAGTCAATTCTTGCATTAAGGATCTAATATGGAAAGAATATAATTTAATTCCAAAGTCTATGTAAACTGCCAACAGTAGTTCTGTTTACTGAAAAATAGATTAGATTTATCCTCTCCTTGGTAAGGAAGCAAATTCTAGCATGACTTCCTGCTGAAATATCTCCCTAAAACCAGTACCAGAATTTTGATTTCTGCACTATTGAACTATAGTCCATATTAGACATGGGTTTTTCGACTATCTGATCAGGTTATGTCCTATTAATCCGGCTCATTTCCTATGTTTTGCGTGTGTGTATCCTGTGGACGGTAGTGGATAGCACCTACTAGTATATGTTTGTATGTTACTTGATAGTCTGGAGAGCTGCAAGTCCCAGAGGAAGACTTGAATAGGTAGTATCAGTTCTTATGTCCTCAGATAAAGGTAACTTCAAACTGATTATGATTAAAATTATACATTCAAGGAATTATTATCTCAACTAAACAGATTGTATAAATAGAAATAGCTGGTTTTTTTACTTATCTAGGCTTTATGACTCCATGTATGTAGTTAGTATGTAAGCATATCCAAGCTTGGTGCTCAATGGATGAGTGAGTACTGGCAATGGAAATGTGGGCTAGGCTGTTACTAGGCCAACAGACTGTCGCTGCTCAAGAATTTCTGTTCTTCTTCTTGAACTGTCTGCGGCAGCACTTACTGCTCATAAGACAGACGTGATCTGCTCTACGTTCTCCCACACTTGCAGATTTTAAATTCTTTGCGTTTTCTGCATATAAATAGCAGACTGTTTCCAGTGGCTGAGTGGGAACCACCCTCCTTGCAACGCCTGTATTTAGCTATTTTGAAAGGACATTTTCGAGGTCATTTTGAATATGTCATTGTTTATTCTTGGAAGGCTTGCATCTGATTTTAACACCTATGAACAGTGCCCAGTGTAGAGTCCCAAGAGGAAAACCTGTCCATGAACAGATATGGTGTGCGCAGCAAAGACTGTATCCAGCAGCCATGCTTTCTGCATCCCTTCTGTCCATGACCAACACCAAGAGCTGTGAAACTGATGCTTCTGTATGGGAAAAGGCAGTGAAAAAACTATTTGACATTTCATTAGAAAAGGGCAGAAGAAAGGAGCACGCTAAAGTCCCCTTTGGCTGTAGCAGAAAGCTGGTGAGCAGCAGCTGGGAAGCGATGTGCTCTGCAGCATTTCTCCCCCTGATATCGCTGGGACTGCCCAGCAGTGCTCTGAGGAGATGCTGCTGTGAAGAGAGGTCTCAGCTGGAGAGTCTAAGGAAAACATGGATCAACAGATCTTTGCAAAGGTTCTTGCAATATCAGTGGGGACTAAATTTATGTCTTGAGAGACATGCTGGAAGAAGTGCCACTTCCAAACTGGGTCCTCGCCCTGCAAAGGCAGCCTGCTGGATCAGAGAACTGTGACTGAGTGCTTCATGTATCTGCACTAATGAAATCAAGAGCCAAAGCCTTAAGTAGGTTGGCTCCAAGACAAGCTCCCTCTTTCTCCTTTCCTCTCCAGGCTGATGTTGCAGGAGTCCCTGACCACAGCAGAGAAGCTGAGGCAGATCACAGCTGCAACAGAAGTTGTGTAAGGAGAGTGCAGGACAGAGACCCTTGAATTTCCTTCCAGCAGCCTTGTCTTTGACTGGGAAAAAAAAACAAAACAAACTTCTCCTAACTCAACAGGGAAAATATCTCAAGCAGGAACTGTGCCTCTGATAGCTTGTCACTACAGTGGGATATATTAAAAACCAGTGCTTCAAACCAGAACCTAATGAATGACATAGGAAGGAAAAACCTTAGACAGTTATGATTATGTTTTCTTCCATGATAGTTTTAGCTGAATCATGAAGGAATTTGAAACACTGTGGGGAGTGCACTAAAAACAGAAGATGAGCTAAAAGGGTTTGGCAGTACATAAAGGCATTTCAGCTCTTCCCCAGACTATGATGCAGTCTATAGAAAATGCAAGCACACTTTGCCTGGAGACGTCTAGTGCTGCAAATTAGGTGTAAGAGTGAGCTGATGTAGTAATCCTGAAATTCTATATCTGAGTGCTCTCTGAAATATGTCTCCTATACTACTTTAAAAATACTTTTATTGTTACAGTGCATGTGGAGATTGCTGGGCAGCCAGCTTCAAATAGTCACAGAGAGGAGAGCTGTGGCTGCAAATGTCTCCACATCGCATCATCAGTGGGCCTCTCTCTGAGATGTAGCAGCCCCATTAAGGATTTGTCCTTGTGTCTTGTCCTGTCCTGTCATCTGGCTCCCTTCTGAAACTGCCAAGAAGTGATTTTGTTGGTTTGTTTCTTCATAGGATTGTTGAGCTTTTTTCTGATACCCTTGCTAGCGATGATTTTGAGACATGATTCTTTTAGGCAGCAATATCCAGGAATCTAGAGCTGAAACACACCTCTATAATCCTTTGAACATTTAAAGTTTTCCTATTTTTTCACTCTGAATGTGTTTTTTCAACAGACTTTATCATTAACATAAGAAATGTTAAGCCTTTGTAATGAGAATTGTAGTGTAATACAGAAACATACACTGTAATTATAGCATAATTTAATACCTGAAGTTCTATAGACAGCTGTAACAGGTATGTCAAGCATTTTTTTCATAGAGAAACCCAGTATTTGAAATATACTATTTATCAATATATATAATATCAAAGCAACTGGAAAACATTTTTCTCACATTATCTGGGACTGAGAAAACAAAAATTATTTTCTTTCAAGTATGAATATTTATCAGAGAAAAAAACTTCAGAGCCCTGTGTATGTCCTCCCCCAGGGTGCATCCCTGTGTATATCTGCTATGTCTGAAGCTGTCAGTGAAGTTAATGGCATCTCTGTTCATGAAGGGCTTGTGAAATTGGATAATTAGTCTGTCCTGGAAACAACTCTCTAGTTGTCCTTAGTGAAAGCGGCAGGTGCCTCTCTTGCCTCAGTGTTTTAGACTCTCAGTTGTACCAGCAGAACTGCTTCAGTTGCGCTCTGACTCTAATTGTCTTTGGAAGTCTATAAAGTAAACTATGATTCATCTTTGTAGGAATAGTGAAGGCTTAAAAATGATCGCATGGAACACTGAACAAGGCTATTCTGTGAGTCTCTCTGTTTTGTTGTGGTAAATTGAGCATTTCACCTTAGTACTGAAAATATTCAGGACTCAGCCTGAGAGGGCCGCGGATCACAGTGTACGTAATGGCCAGCCACAAGCTGTCAGCTGGAAACCGCTATGGTACGCTGTAGCTTTGATTTGGGCAAGAAGGGAAATTTCAGCCCTCACTGAGAGTTATTTTTGATTGCTGGATCAACTGGATCTTTAACTTTTAGTGTATTCTCACCTCCTGAGCTTTCCCAGGTTCTTTATAAACCAGCTGGCTGCCATGCTTACCTCTCTTCAGAAATACCCTGATATTCTGATAAAGCGTTAAAGGTTTTCATTTGTATATATCAAAGCCAAACAAATATTCCACCCCAGACTTGCTGGTTTATTCTGCTGTGTACAGCCTGTGCATTGTTATTAACCGTGATCCCCACTCCTTCCTCGCCTCTTCCACTGGCACAGGTGGGAGAATGCTCAGTGACTCTGAATAAACCTGTGACGAACTGTGGTAGTCCTGAGAGCTTTCAATGGCCTGAACAAGAAATGTGTATTCAAATTCCTCTCAGTTGCTTCTCTGTTTCCTTACTGTAGTCAGTCAGAAGCAGACTCAAGTTGTTACTCCTCTCCATGAGTTTTGTCTGATTGTTCTGGATGTTGTGTTTCCCTTCCCTGTTGAGGGAGTTCCCAGGCCCTCCAAAAACCTGTCCACAATATGCTTTCTCTCTGCAGGTGGCCTCATCCCAGGTAAAGCTGAGTCTGTGATGGTTTGGGCCAGTGTGGGTTTTCCTGCTGTACCTCATTTTCTCTTTCTTCCCAATTGGCAGTAGTGTGTAACAGGAGGTTGGCCCGATGCTCTTTGACTTAGACTTGAGCTTTCAGCACAGCCCTTTGAACTGTCTCTAGGGCATTTTCCATCCAGGGATGCAGTTTTGATATCAAGCACACCTTTGTCACAGGAGCTCTGCTGCGCTGCTTAGCACTGGTCACATGCCCTAAGCAAAGAGGTAGTGGTCACTGTGTATCGTTTCATACACTTCTTTTGAATTAAGGTGAAAAGAAAAATGAAAATCGGTTGTGTTCACCAGAGGGTACTATTGCTGTAGTTGACCAAATTCTTTGCCTGGTCTTGGAAGAAGGCACAGATTTTTGTACCCTGAAGTAGGATTTGGCCCTCTCAATTTTAACCATCTGTAAGTGATGTAACTAGTCTGAGTCCTCTTTACTTTTTCTAGGGTTAATGGAGAGAAAATGTCATCTCCAATAAATACTATATTCTGCTTAACTAGGACAGGGTGAAATGCCCTTTGATGCATCCTGCATGAGGGAACCCAGATAGCTGGTTTAGATTTAGATTGTTCTCAGTATCTGAAGTCATGTGAGATGGAGCCCACCAGAAGAAACCGCAGTCTAAATCTGCAAACCCAGCCTAAGGTGCAAACCCACCTAGCACACCAGTTAATCTTCATGAAAGTGTAGGCATCTATGTAGCATCATCATCAAAAGTCTTCCTGGAAAAGGTTTAGAAAAAGATTTGAAAGAGCAAAGGCAGTTGTTCGATATGTGAGGAGAACAGTTCTGGCACACTGTAACAGAGATGGAATTATTGCATCCACCCCTCCTGCTACCTCCACCCCCAAAATCTGAAAACTTCCTGATTTGTGTTCATCAATAATTAAGAGCCCATCAGCAATACTCAGAGGGAGCTTGCATTGCACTTCTGAGCAGCCAGTTAGTAATGTACGGTGGAGAGATCCTCTTTTTCAAATCCCAGGGCTCCAGGCCATGCAATGCTAGTATTGCATTTTCAATTAGCTTCTGAGTGAATGCTTGGCATATGTAGAAGTGGACTGGTACACAATTAGCTTATTGTTCCTTTCAGCTTTGTGCTGAGAGGATCTGAAGGACTGCAGAAGAGAGGGGAGAGGGGAAAAAAAAAAGAAAATAGCCAAGCCAGCAGCACCTCTGTGGATGTGGAATAAGGGAGTTGCTCGGCTCACGCAGATTCCCGTGCTAAGTCGGGAGGTACAGCTGTTCCTGAGGAGCCCTCAGCCTGGCTGTGGGGAGGGCGCCCGGGGAGAGGCGCAGACCGAGTCTCAAGCTCCAGGCTCTTCTCTCCTCTGACTCACCTCAGGATCACGATGGAGCCCAACAGCCCTAAAAAAATACAGTTTGCTGTGCCGCTGTTTCAGAGTCAAATAGATCCCGAGGCAGCTGAGCAGGTAAGGAAGACGAGTTTCTTTCACTCTTTTGAGGGAATGGGGTAGGAATGGGGGTGAGATGTGGGGTGAGAATAGGTAACACTTGCGGCCTAAATGCTTTTCTAACTTATATTAGTGTAACTATAGATTAAATGCTCTGGAGGTTATAGCGTTGTCTGGATATACCCAGAGAGGGAGGAGGATATGTCCTCTAGCCAGAGTAAGGTTTCTTTACCTTGGGTAGGCTTATTCAATATATATTTGTCGTGCCTTTTCTGTAACTGGGCTTGTACCCTTATACATATACTTCACATGAATACACATTCTCAACAAGACAAATAAAGTATATTGTTTGCATATAAACCAAAATGTGAAGCCAATAATAGGTACCTAATGGAAGTACTGCGTAGAAGACGGCTTATTTACTATTAATATTAACATGAGAAAATATATGTTGTTTTGCACGATAGTTATCACTTCAGTTACCTCGTGTATTTCTCATGATTTTCATACAGTCTTTATGTCATTTTTACAGTGGTTTAAGTATTTAAAAATACATATGTGTAGAAATATGCCTAAATCCACATTGGAATTATGTCTGTGCTATTTTAGGTTTTGACTCACTCCCAAAACATACACATACATATAATATATATAGCAATACAGACGTCTGTGGAGGAAAAGATACCTATTAGCGTGATACATGTAGATGCGTATAAAGAAGGACATAGGGAATCTTATGAGAAAAGCTGGAGAAATTGTAATTAGGTGACCCAGTATATTTATCTCAGTGAAAGTCCTCATCATTTGCTTCTATTCTGGTAAGTCTAGTTTTAGATAATATCAGGGGAATATTATAACCTTGACAGTTCTGTGCCATTAGCGACAACATTATTGGCACCTTTAGGACAGGTATCTGGTTTCCTAAATATTCAGATGTCATGTCTCTTAAAAGGCAGCCACCTTTGCCAGAAAATGATGAATTGTGAGTGACTACTGAACGAAGAAATACTAGAAGGGTGCAGGAGAGAATCGCTGTGGGTCTTCATTTTGTCCATAGGTATTTCGGAGCTGCAAGATGTCCATACCTAATATAACAGTCCTGCAATGAATTCAAGCAGGATGTGTTCTGATATTTTTCTGAAATCGGTGAGAACCACAGAATTAGGATTTCCCGGAATTCCCATGGCTTTTGAAATGCTGCGGCCCAAATTCTGCCCAGTATTTATGGGCAGTCCTTTTTTTTTTGTGTGTGATGTGAGTTTAATTCCAAGTACTATACAGTTTCATTGTGGGTGTGTGATGAAATTAAAGTAGTAAATTCTGCTGTCAGCTACAGTTACGGTAATCTGGAATAAACCCATTAACCCTGATGAGGTAATTTTCCATTTACACCTCTGAAAGCAAAATTTGAACCCAGCTAAATACAGATGTTGACTCAGCAACTAAAAAAGAACAAGCACTTACATTGAGGTTTTGTGTCGGAATGGTTTCTAGATTTAAATACTCTTGATCCCTGTCTTAAATTCAATAGAATATCAGTAGCCTGGAGGCTTTAGTAAAGCAACACAAAGTTCTCAGTGCAAATGTGTGCATTTTAGGAGGGTAGTCCTATATCATGTAGTTCAACCAGTGTTAGCAGAACAAAAGTACTTAACCAAATAAAATTGAAATAATGAGAATTAGATACAATTCACAATTATATATTGATATGTAAAGTTCTGTTGTATATGCTCCTTGAAAATTTCCTTTTGAAAGTCTTACTGTTGTTTTTCTTTAGTTAAAGAAAAATAGTAACATCTTTGGCCACAGTTTAGAAATATCATAAATTCATTGTTAGGCATACATGCAATATCAGCTCTTACACTTGCACTTACAAAATATTATTAATGATTACTTGTGAGGGCTATGACAGTACTAGGTATTTGCACGTGGAAGCTCACAAGCTACTGCCATCATTTTCCTGACACAAAGCTAAATGTCAATATTTTAAGATATGACTGATATATGTCAGACGATACATGCCCCACAATTTATTCAGGATGATTGCAAATCCGAAAAGTATTTTAGAAAGCTCTCTCCCATGCCTTTGCGCTCCACGTACAAGCAGCAGCATGACCCTGATCACTGTCGGACCAGGCGAGCAGTCAGTACGACAGTGACATGCTGCTGTTCTTTAAATATTTTCTTTTATAACTCTGCCTGGCCTATACTTGGGAAGATGCCAGAAGGATTTTTTTTCTTTGCTTTGTCAGGGGGGTGGGGGGGTAGCAGTTGATGGACACTATTGACTCTCCTTGTTTTATGCCTGCTTACAGATCAGGAAAAGGCGGCCTACACCAGCATCACTCGTCATCATGAATGAACATGTGCCCCCGGGTAAGTGGCAACATACCTTCTAAACCATTAAGCTTGCACACACAGGATTGTCTGTACATTGGTTTTATTAGCTACATGATTTAAAAAAAACCCCAGCATTAATTTCATAGCACTAAATATCAAATAATGGATCTTAGAACTGTTTGGAGTAAATCCTGTGTGTAACCCCTGGCCTTCAGGTAATGTCAATAATTTCAGGATTTTATCCAACCTGTAAATCTTTTATTATATGTATAAGGAGAATTAATATGACCCAGATCCAGCACTTCTGTCCACAAATGTTTTCTTTCCCTGGGTGGATACTTTGGAGATCCATGAAGGCCTTAATCTTGGTTCTCTGACCTCTAGAGATACGAGGGTGGCTCCAGGGATGGCTCAACTAAGGGAATTACTTTCGCAAAACAGGTTGTTTTCTAGTTTTCTGATGAAACATGATGTGTGTTTTCATTATTCCTTTTCAACTGTGAATACATTATCTTCATCCAAGACTCCTCCCGGAAGATTTTCTGTGGGATGAAGTGATTTGAGGTTGCAACAGACTTTGTCACATAAATATGACTTCAGAAGACTCTTTAATAAGCTGTTTAGGGAGTATTATAAGCAAACAATCTCAATAAAAATGGATTACAGGAAAAATTCCTCAAGACATAATCCCTTTGAAACACACTACTTACTTTATATGAAATTTTGTAGTGCTCTGCAACATTTTTTTGCTGCCTTATCTCTTCGTCACCCGAACCTTTTTTTAAAAGCAATTCAGGCTTTTTCTCACTGTGTCTCTAAGGCCACTACTGTATGCACTGGCATCTCAGTAAAATAAAATCATCTGAGCTCTACTAGAATCTCCACTTACTGCACTATGCTGATGGTCTCCAGTTCTGATTAACATCACCAGTAGCTGAAGTTCCTCAGAAATACACAGAGAGAAGCACTTAGAGAGCCCTGCTCTTGAGGTTGAGATCACTGCACCACAGCACACAGATTAGGGAGGTTCAAGCATGGCATATGGCTAAAGTTATGTTCTTGACACTGAGACGGACCTGTGCATTTGCTGCAGGGCTGACACCAACTCCAGGTTGGAGAGTAGTCTTCTGGCCAGAATTTCAGGCAGTTCAGCTCTCACTAATCATGCACAAAATACTTGCCTTAGACCAGCTTTACTTACCTTCGTGGGATCTACTGTGTCTGTGTTACTATGACTTAATTGAAAGCAAATTCACCTTGACTGTTAATCTCTCTTGCAATTCGCTTTGTACACTCTGTACCATCATATTTCCTTTTATAAACAGATACTTGGTACAGTACCAAATCAAAACCAAACAGAGAATAAGAACTCTTCAATTTACAGGAAATTTTACTGTAAACAAAGTGGTACATGTCTGTTATCTCCTTTCCTGCAATGTTCATAATAAATCTTTAAATAAATCATTTTTATTATGAGTCAGGATTGCTGCAAGTATCAGTCAACTTCCATATAAGCCCAAGAGTTAGTATTCACCTTCTTCACTTATTTATATTTATTCATTTAGATATTATCCCCTCTTACTATATAGTGGGAACTAATATCAATGAAGGTATTCTTTCATTAAATTATAATCTCGTCTTGCTTTTTACTTTTATATAAAGTCAGGTCAAAATAAAAACTTTAAAAGCACCTTCATTTTCCTACACCTCACCATGTGGTTTATGCATAAGCATGTGCATGCATATTTCCATACGGTATGCTTGATATGGGCACGTGTAGATGTGTAAACCTGTTGAATACAAGGACTGCAAAGCCAGATGATAGCTTTACAATGGAAGTATGAACAGTAAAAAAATTCCTTATGGTTTTGATCTTGCAAGGTGCTGTACAGCTTCTGGAATTATTGTGTACTTTCAGCTTTCAGAGTCAGCTAATACGAGAGTCTCTTGACACCTTGCTGTCTAAACCCCAAAATGCTGGTCAGTTATTGGATTTTTGGAGTTCAGTGGGATGTTGAATAACAATTTGTCTCCAAAAATGTTAAATTTATCGCTGCACATGGTTGCAGTCAATAAAATAATAATAATAATAATAGTAGTAGTAGTAGTAAGGGTGCTAACTTGACACTCCAACAAATTGCTTTAGAAGCATGATTCCCTAGATCAACAGGGAAACTGAGCAGCAGAGAATTTAAGTGATACTGTCTACTGTTAGATTAGTGCTGGTCTAAACCAGAATCCTGTCTCATGTATTTTACCCACTGGAGAACTCCAGTTCCTTCAGTAGGAGCAAACAGCTAGTGAAGGATATACTTCCAAGGGTTTGAAATGTGTGTCATAATGCAATTCCAAATGTTTGGATGCCCCTGCAAAGTTTACTCAAATTATCTAAACCTCTTTTATTTTGAAAAACAGAGACAGGCATTTTCTAAGAATCAGACTTTTCTATAGCCTTCTGTTGCAGCTGCTTCTGATTGTGGCAGGAAAAAAAGCAGCATTTTTGTGGTGTTCTGGATGCAGATCCATCTGGAAACCAGAAGGCAGTAAAATGTGTTTGGACATGTCAGAACTTCATAATAAATGCAGTTTGAGTTGTGCTGTATAAAGATCTAAAATAGTTGTTTTCTTCTAAGTCTTCTCATCCTTCCCTGATGTCTACCACAGCTTTGACAGGAATCTGTTCAAGGATTTAGGTCAGGTCCATTGGGCTATAAAGTGAAGATGGAATATCTACTAAGGCTTTTTTAAACTGGCGACAGCTATTCAAAACCTTTAAGAAGATTCTATTTGGCTTCCTTGCTTCCAAGGATACAGTGTGAGACTACACTAAATTATTTGAAGACAGGTGGTAGATGTGACTGCAGGAGCTAATATCCAGCATCACTGACCGGCACATTTTCTCATGTTCACTCTGGTTGGCATCATATATAATTGCAATCAAAGTCAACCAAAGAGAAATTTGAATTGCAGCAGCAACAGTGATTGCAGTGGACAATACGAGGTTGTGAAGCAGCATAGCAACGAATAAACCCTTAACTGTAAGTGCTTTGTACAGTGTTATTTGATGGGTTATGTCACATCTGAGCAGAGAAGCTAGCTCTAGCAAGTTGAGACTCAAGTTATGAAGTTACTTAACTCCGTTGTGCTTCGGTTGCCATCAATGGAGCTTTATTTTCTGAGCATCTGATGTTTGATTTCATAATATCTGATCGGCTTTACTTTTATTTGAAGTTATTAAGACCCTTTTACTGTCTGTGAAAGCAAAGACAAATATTAGTGTACAGAATTACAAAAAATGTTCAGCATCTCATCCTGTGCAGGATGTCTGCATGGATTACTGGGGTAACCCACTCATGATCTGCTATAGCCACAGGTGCTGCATGACTGTCCTTTATAAAAGGAACGTAAACACATGCTTAGTTTTAAAGACAAATTTAACTATGGTGCTGCACGAGGGCTTAATCCAAAAATTGCTAAGGACCTCCTGCTTCCTCTTTCTCTTGCAATATCATTGGAGCCAACAGAAACTGAGTATCACCATACCCTGAAAGCAATCTTTTCTGTACTGCCACAATAAACTTACAACCTCCTGTCTCTGTACCAAGTGTAGCAGAATATATATGAAAATCAGTTCTTGTAATCTGAAATAAAAGTCTGACCGTGCTTTAAACTAGTAGAATATCATACTGCAATGGCTCAAGAAAAAGCTGGTGGCAATGTAGAGTAGTGATGGTTGAGGAAGGAAAACATGTCAGGTCACAACTCAGGTTTAATGTCATTAGGGCTCTCCCTGATTAGAAAACAATGCCAGCGTCCCTGTACAGACTGGATTGGTCACAGAGCCCATGCGACATCAAGCAGTCTGGCTGACAAAGGCTGTTCAACATCTGTCAAAGTGTTCGGTCTTCTTGAAGCATTAGAGTATGGGTAAACATTAGGATAAGCTACATTTCTGAACCTTCTATGTATTTGCTGTTTCCAGCTCTCCTTTCTGCTCGGTTGCCCGTTTTGGCTTCCTTGCTTGTAAATGTAAATGTTACTTGGTGTTTGGAAATAGGAAAAAACATAGTGATGTGTTTTGATGACTCTTCTCCAGAGCTGCCTTTCTGTATTCTGCAAATCTCATTTCAAGGCAGAAAGAGTATATTATCATGACAAAAGCAATATAAAACATATATTCCAAGTACAATTCAGTACATCTGAGATTTCTAAAGGCGGGAAATCATAACTTGACGATAAGCAAGCTGTACCTGTCTCCAGACAAGGAACTTGCTTGCAGCTTTTCTTTGGCCATTACCAATTTTTCTGTCCTGTTCCTAGCTGATTTTCTGTTGTCCAGAGAGGGATTCATGCCTTTCAGCTTGCTACCACTTCCTTGGAGGTCTGCTGAGATGCCTCAAGAGCAGCCTCCGTATTTAGTGCAGCAGCAAACAACACAGCCAGATGGGTGACGGAAGGAAAAACTGTCCTTGCATCTGTAGCAACCCCATGACAACCCAAAGTTCTTTTATGCTAAATTGCATCTAGACACTCCCAGCCTTTCCATTACCACATATAGATGTGCTTTTCTGAAGATGCAAACTATACCAGCACCACATCCTTGAGGAAATAAATACAATATGCTCTACCTAACATTAATATTTGTAACCAATGTTTGTTATTCTTCCAGATAAATTAATGTGTTTGTTTTACATCTAATGGTCACTTAATTTTTTTTTTTTTCTCCCAAGACAAAATAAACTGGGATCAAAACAGACCTACTAAGTAGGAGGCAGCTGTTTCTGGGCATTGTCAAGCAGTTCTGCTATACTTTCTCAGGCAAAAGTCTCACTGAAACTTGAATCAGTGGAGGACTCTTGGTCTCACAGTTCATGAAAACCGATACTTTTTTCAAAAGCTCGATATTCTGGTAGGACATACTGCTTATTTTGGTTCAGGAAATAGAAAGTGAGTAAGCCAAAGAGCAGCTGTTTTCAATTGCAAATTTAGGCTTCTAACGTGGTAATAAAACATTTAGAAAAGCAGTACATTAATAA